AAAAAAAAAACGTCTTGCTTTTTCAGCCGGTGGAGCCCGGTGCCCCACTGTCCTTCTCCCAGTGGCGATGAGCAGCCTGAACAGCAGCCAGCCCTGGCACCCGCCCGGCCGCTCGGGAGACCTGTCCCTGCAGGTGCAGGAGATATACCCCTTCCACGACGGCTGGAACACCGCTTGCTTCGTCATCCTGCTGCTCTTCATCCTCACCGTGGTCTCCCTGGCCGCGCTGGCCTTCCTGTACGAGCTGCTGGACTGCGGCTGCTGCGCCAAGGGCAAGACGGAGAGGGAGCTGAGGGAGCAGCCGGGGCCCCTGAGCGCCATGATGCGCAGCGTGCGCCAGCGGCGGGTGGAAGTGGTGTAGGACGGAACGCCAACCCACCCGGACTCTTCGCCACACGGCTGGGGGGGGCTGGAGCCGCCTGGGCTACCCACACACAAGCGGACAGCAGCTCCGTCCTTACTGTTCAGAGCACGCGTCGCAATGCAAGCAAGAGCAATGCAGGGAAATGCCTTAAGGAGGGTCCAGACTTTTTTTTTCCCCCTCTTCTGAGGCTATAGATCAATGGCAGTGAAAATTCTGAGCTCATTGGCTACAAACCTATCTGAAATAACCTAGAAGCAAAACATCACAACACCGTCTGATAGTTGCGGACAAATAATCGTAACATGTCTACACGATATAACGATAGGAATTGCTGTGCATTACAGACTACTTTCCTGCTCAGCCCCTGCAAACTATATTGTTTTTTTTTTTATATCCATATAAAATAATTGAAAATGCTAAAAATGCTCCAAACAGATGTGGACTGTCTCTCACTGAAACACATTTTCACTGAAATGTCGTGATCAGGTCTGGGAGGATATGAACTTGAATCCCCTCATCACTGTTTTGTAATTCATCACTGATATCTCACCTTCACAGAATGTTTACAGTATGCTGTTTATCCTAGATTTATAGGTATATGGAGACCATCTGGCACCACCTCATTCATTAACATCTGCGCCATGCACTTTCACCGTTCTTGCTCTGCTTTGCCTGAGAGGTCATTATTCCCTTGAAGAGTCTTAAAAAACTACCTTAACTCTGCTTTTAATGTACATCAGCCTGGATATAATATGCTATGCATTTACAGTATCATACACATGCCTTAAGACAGTGTGCATTTAAATTAAAACTATTACAATCTCTAGACGTGTCCTTAATGTCTTAACAAGCAAGCATCCCACAGCTGGCAGAGGAATCCTACTCCGTTGGGCTCCTGAGCAAGGCCCTTAACCCCAGCTGCTCCAGGGGCGCTGTGCAATGGCAGACCCTGCGCTCTGACCCCCAGCTTCTCTCCCTGTCTGTGTGTCTGTGTCTCATGGAGAACAAGCTGGAGTATGTGAAAAGTTGAATTCCTAATGCAAGAAATTGTATATGGCTAAGAAAGTGATCTTATCTTATACCTGATCGATTCCATCAGGCACCCCTTTGAGTCAACTAGGCATGCATTAAGATGCAAATATTTGTTTTAATATAACATATTATGCCACAGTAAAAAAATGCATACAATGAATGTGTTCCGCTAGATTGTCACCAAATGCAAAAACAAAGTTAAAAGCAACCATTTCAAGCCATTTCACTCTTTAAAGGCAGTATTTTAAAACAATACTCACATTTAACAACCATACAAACTGTCATATAACTGCATGTTGATAATATGTTCGTGTAGATGATGGGCACAGAAATACATAAAGAAACTACAAGACCCCCTAAAGTGTGTGAATGAAGGTCTCCTGAATGGCTTATCTGCTGTTACAAGGAGTATTTTAAAAGAGATGAAGACGCATCCCAGGACTTCCAGAACAAGACTGATCTAACCTAAGAAGTGGTAAGACTTCCCCAGTACACTGCCAGACTGCTAGTGTAGACTCTACCAGCTGAGAAGGCTGGAGTAACATGGGGAAGGAAACAAGACTACCAGACAACTGTGACACCTAGTGGCATGTTCATTTCAGAAGTGAGGAAGCCATAAGGCTTCCATAGTGAATGTCTTACAGCATGTCTCAGAGAAGGTGCCATTGCACCTTTCAGTCCAGCATAGGGCTTAAGTGATTTACAGAATAAAATAAAAAACTAAGGTTATAAAAGTTAAAATAGAGGTCAAAAGGTAGAAAGATTTAAAAGCTTTTTCCAAGTACCCTGGAAAGGAAAACCCAAACTGCTGGATCAATCCTGAGGACTCTCTTAACAAAGAAGAAAATTAACATTAACATTTTTCCAAATTAAGATTTCAAATGTTCATTTTAACTATGAAGCTGAAATGTCAATTTAATCACTGTTAACGATTCTGTAGAACAAATGCAATGTTAATCCCACAGTATAATTACTGCAATTCTCTAATGATTCTTTGAATGACATAACACTACACGTAAGAAAGTTTACAAACGAGAAAAAAAATTGCAGGTTTTGAGCCAAGCACACTACTGATTCAAAAATGAACAGTGGTGTTAAAGCAAGCAACAGCAGGCCACTCCTTCTCTGCAGCAAGCAAACTTATCACTGATCATCTCACAGCCCCAAATTACAAAGCTCTGCGACTGCCCTCATCCTAACTAATAATACCATCAGCACTAAATGTATATTTAATTTGTGAGATCTGACATTCAGAACCATTGAACTCACACCTTTAAGATTACGGGGCAGTACGTGTGATTGTACTTTCAACTGAACTGACTGAAAAAAATAATTTTACACCATGCATGATCTCATAAGCTGTGGTTATTGTTTTATGGAAAGAAATATGATATTGTTGGTACATTAAGACTGTAGCAAGCTCATTATACTAAATACGTGCCCTACTGCACTAGTTGTGTCAAAAGCAGGAGACCCCTTGAGCAATATCCATAACATTTTTTTTCTGCAAACAGCAGATCTCTGTAAAATGGGGCTCAACTCATGTTTTCCCAAAAAGGGTGACAGTGGCAGAACTGCAGCTCTGTTGGTGACATACTCCCACTGCGGCTGCCTGCCACCATGTCCACCATCCTTCGCCGAAAAAAGCTACTGATAGTGAGAATCACAGCAACCGCTGTGATCATGAACGCATACTGACCTGTCCCATGTTTGGATCCAGAGGAGCCCGCCTGGTCGTATTTGGCCTTCTTTTTCTTGGAGGATGAGGAGTCTGAAAAGGCTGGCCGCTTCTCCACTGCCGGCGTGGAAAGAGCTCGCTTTTTAAAGAGCTCCGTCTCGCGGAGCAGAGCCGGATCCATCCTACCAGCACACAGAGTGAAGAAGAAAATACAGCCGGGTTCACCTCGGCCACACGTAGGCAACACACACCACAAGCTACAACACCCACAAAACTGCAGCAAATTAGTCTAGGCTATTATTCGAATTTACCAGCTTTACAATAAATCCAGGCCTTGTCCTGTCCAAATTCCCCCCCCCCGGCCTTTACCAATCATGCCCTCCTGCTAATCCTCATCTATGAACTGACTTCATCACTCATTTCTCCTCCCCACTGATAGCTGGTGTGTGTTGAGTGTACTGGTGCACTATGGCTGCTGTCGCATCATCCAGGTGGGGCTGCACACTGGTGGTGGTGGAGGGGATCCCCAATACCTGTGAAGCTCTTTGAGTGGAGTGTCCAGAAAAGCACTATATAAGTGTAAGGAATCATTATTATACCCATTTCAGAACTTGAATGTGCTGATGACATGATATACATCTCACTGTTGATTGCTTTAAGCTCTTTATAGTCCTATATAGCAATTTTTGTCAGTGTAGAAAAGTTAGCGATCCTTCCCTTAGCAACTGAACTTTTTGACAGTATGAAACAAGAGCTAGTTTAGCTCATCCTAAACAGGCTAAAAAGGGCTACACGTTCACATGCCAACAAGTCTGATGAAACATTATGAAGCAATCCAGGCCATACAGCTTAACCACATGATTACAAGAAACTATAATCGTCCGTGTAAATGTTATTCTTTTAACAAGCTCTTGTTAGAGAGGTATTTATGAAGTATGTATTGATATTTTAATTCCTACAGTGTATTTCTACCAAATGTGCGAAAGGATTATGTTGTATATCTGAACTGTCGTGGAATCAATTTTATACGTTGTTCTTAATTACTTCTCTTCTTTGTTAGATTCCAATGATTGCTTTATCCCTAACGATCAAAACATTTTATCCCTAATAACCAAAACAGACAGGTTTTTTTAAAAATATATCAGTTTTGGTCACTGGGAAATACATTGGTCTCCAAAATTCAGTCAGTAGTAATTATTTTATTCTACGCTCCAGTAATGTAGTTTCTCGTCTCATTCGGAACATGACATGTTACCACCTTTTGTTACCAAAGCATATCGCCAAATAAACACCGATAGCATAAACCTAAGTCAATCTAACATTTCCGAATTCTTCACAACAATGTATATAACACTACAAGCGGATCTGTTATTGTCACACAACAAACCCAGCACACCAGCAACTATTATTTACACGCTCACATCTACCAAAGCGTTACATAATGTGTTGTCGACTATGATCACATACAAAATCAAAATAAGAATTTTCCAGTACCTTGTCTCCAGCTGCTTCTACAGGGAGGGAAAATATAGTTTTATAAATAGTTTAAATTTTCAGCAAACGATATTTAGAAAATTTTAGTTTGCTCCATTATACACTCGACAGACACTGGCTGCCTGGAGGCAAGAGTGCGCTGCTTCCGAGTATCACCGTTCACACTCGACTCTCGACTAGCAGCGTCTGTTACGCACACAGGACTCACTGGATGACGTAATGTTGATCTCCGAGTCCAAGGAGAGAAAATATGGCCGCCCGGGCTGGCTTTTGTTCATGTGTGTATACGCGGACAACAGGATACTTTTTTTTGCATGTATAAATACAAAGATACATTGGGTGTGATCTGAAAATTAAAATTGACTGGTTATTGGTCAAGGTTATTGTATTCCCAAAGGTTTGGAAACAGATGAATTCCATCATAACACAAGTCAGCATACTGCATAAATCTCAGAGATCTGGAAGGTCTGCCTTGAGTTTTTAACCTTCTTGAATATGTCACTATTAAAAAATATTTTTTTTCAAGAGTGTTTTACAAGGGCGTTATATGTTGTTATTATTTTCGAAATAACTGACCAATGATAATATGCGGTTTGAGATTTTTAATAGACGAGCATATTCACTCATTAACTACTAAATATTTTCACAAGGTTTACAATGAATATCATTTCAAAATAACTCAGAAGTTATAACAGTGTTATATATACTTGTATTACAAAACACAGTTGTAGACTTTATCCCGTTAAATCTAATCATGACAGACTGTTTGACCCTCTGCCATCTGGAAAACGGTACCGGAGCATTCGGGGCTGGACTACCAGCCTCAGAGACCGTTTTTATCTCCGCACCATCAAACAATTAAACTCCCAGCCTCTGTCACCTACGATCTGAACCCTCACAGTACCTTCTCCCTTTATCAAAACTCAAACACACGTCAAGAAGCTCACTCCCCATAATGTTCTATTTCAGTAAATTTGATTTTGAGTAGATTAGAGCAATAACTTTCCTAGATTTAATGTATTTACAAATTACTTTTAAGGAATTACATAACCTAAAGGCGACTTCAAAGAAGACTTTTTTAAGAGACGTATTATTAAGTAACGCACGCAGCTGTACACCTTAATAAAGGACTGATTGCTTAATCCACCAAAAACAATACAGACAGGAGCCCTTATTCAAAACATCTTACAGTGATATACAACAAATACAATGCATATACAGCATTAAGTCCAACTAATTCGTGACCACACGCATGTCAAGACGCTTTTTCACATTGATAAAGTAACCAGTGTCTATCTAAATCGACTGGTATAGATATTTGCTGTCGGTTGATCTGTATGGTGTTGCAGTTCTATCGGATACATTCATTTTACAAACGCTGTGATTTATTCCTTTTACCGGACTCAGTCAAAACTGGCGAGGGTTTATCGCTGTCGCTTTTTCAGTCCACAGTTCAGACTAATTCAAAGTACACGTTTTAAAAATAATTCACATTTGCCACACTATGGGATATAAGTGATTATTAAACCAACGGTTCACTACGTGATATTTTCCATTCCTCTGGTTGGATAAACCAGGCTACTGTCATCGTGCAAGTGGGTTTTAGTTTTTACATAAAGCCAAACGTGGGCTAAAATATAATTTGTTTGAAATAGCATATACGGGAATATCAGGAAAGTCATCCTAATCACTGCCTAAACTTTGTATCTGATCGTACTTTGTCCCTCTTCTCTCCCCCTAGTATGGTGTCAAAAAATAACAAAAAGGAGGGGTCGGAAGTGTCAGTCATGAAAACCGAAAGACATATTAAAAAAAGAAAACTGAAGGGTGGTAGAGCTAGTGTAGGAGAAGACTCAAAATCTGTAAAAATGGCCAGTTCGACTGATGGTAAGCAAAGGACGATGATTTTGTCTGCAATCACTGCGCTCCTCGCCCTCTGCGTGGCTCCTCTCACCGCTCAACTCGATGGTGAGTAATTTATTCCGTAGCTAAGATTAACAGGACATGTAAAACTCACATCAAGACCTCCCGAAAGTGCATTTACCGAACTTTAGAAAATTGGAGGGGAGACACATAACAGCAGAGCTCATTCAGCTGAAATAGGCTGTGATTTAACAGTTATTCGAAGAATGTGTAATGCACAACCGCATGTTTACCTACATTAAGTTGAAAGAAAATCTGTTTTTTTTTTCATAGTTGCAGTGAGCTTTTGTCTACCGTAGTGGACCTGGAAAATAAGAAATGAGTCTGAAAAGACGCGTATTTCAGAAATAAAAGTTTGAACACTGAGTTGTTCAGATTTAAAGCTGACGTCTTTATTCAAACGGTAGATCTCCTGGTCTGTCCCTGAATATTGTCTGTCTCCATTGCAGATTAGAACTGACCTTAAAACAAAACAAAAATGGTCAAATGAAAAAAGTAAACTGATATAAACTGTATCCCTTGTATCACATGGAATATTGATTATATGATTTGAGATGCATTTACTTCAGCAACCTCGTTTTTCTCATTATATTTTAAGCAGACGGAAGGGTTGAAAAGAATAATTCCCCTTGGGAATTACCGTATATTTGCACATTTTTAGGCATAAGTATTAATTGTTTTTACGTCTCGGGTGACGTTCAGAAAGTTTGTACAGTCAGGTTCTGTATCTTACGTTAGTTATTTGACAGATCTTTAAAAGTACCACTACCGCTTGCCAAGATGAAAAATTTTTAAATTAACTACACAGAGCATTGTTAAAATTAAACACAGGCCTGTTGTTGTCAAATATAGTTGTATCATATTTATATTTTATTTTTTCTTATTGGAAATGGAGGGTTTCAGTACATTATGTTTACATTATGTATTGTAGTACATTATGTATGTAAAAGCTGATTTAATTCATGCATTTATCTAAACTTTTTTTATAATTTATGTAATACAGTTTAAACCGTAGGTAGACAGGTCTAGTCACCAAAATACACTTGAGTCCTATAGGTTTTTATTCCAGATTTTTCTATTTTCTAACTGCTTCCATTTCAGAGTCGGGGGGTGCCAGATTCTATTTCGCAGTTACAGACATCCCAACTTTGGAAAAATTGATTTCAGGGAGAGGGGTCATCCCTGCTGTGAAAAATTGCGGTCTGGGTTGGGGGGACGTGTATATATGCCATACACTATCAATACTATAACTCACTAGTCCATTTGGGTTGTACAGAGATGCGGCTTCTTTAGCAAATTTGAGAAAAAAATTGGGAGTGGGCTGGGGGGAGGCGATTTCCGGGAAATCATTTGGGGGAGTCAGGGAGGAGACGCTGATTTCCAGGAGACTCCCGGAACGTCTTGGGATGTCTGCAAGTAGTGGGCACAAGTTGGGGTACACCGTGGACGGCACACTAGCCCATCTCAGGGCACAGACACACACAGACTTGCACACAGTCACATAAGAGTGAGTGTTTGTAGAATCCAGTTAACCTACCAGTTTGTCTTTGGGCTGTGGACAGAGACCAGAGCACCTGGAGGAAACCCATGTGAAATGAGCGACAATATACAAACTCCACACAGCACCCAAGCTCCAGAATTGAACCCAGGGCCAAAAATATTGTAAAAACTAAAGTGCAATAGTGAGACCTGGAAACTATGTAAACGTGTTTTGAACAATGAGAACAGACGACACATATTTACGCAAAGGTTATGGCTGGATGTGATCCTTGGCAACCAAGCAAGCTCAATGGCTTGAATGGTCTTATCTTGTTTGTTACTTTTCTTACATACTTATCATGGGTTTTTTTAAAATGTTACTCAATTGCTACTTCTAGAAGTGTCTGTTAGAACTTACAGGACTCCGAACCTCTAGGAATGGAATTGACTGACTCGGGTTTATGACATGTAATGAATGTGTTATTTAAAGTCTGTCGTTTAACAAAACAAGCCTTTATCATTTTCTGCTGCAATCCTGTCACCAATGAGGGTTCAGCTATGAGGGATTTTTGCTGAATTACTGGTATAAAATTGTGTGTTTCAGCAATACGAATGCCTTATTTTTCAAATACAATATTACATTTTAATTTCTTAAAATATATCTAAAGATTGTTCCTCTTTATGTCTCCAAATCGAAGAAGCAGATAGTTAAAAGATTGATCCTTTTTTTTTGTAAATTAGAACTCGTCCACATCCGGTGTCAGGTCAGATTCTGGACTACTATAGCTTCTCCGCTGCCACATTTTCTCACACAAGGCTTCTTAAGACATTGAACTAATCAGGGACATTGCCTTGCTTGCAGAGCTACATTAAGGCATGTGACAACTGTGCGTGTAACTAGGCTGGAACCCCAGAAGCAGTTTGTTACAGAAGTGCCGTTGTGATGCAGAGACAAAGGGGGGAGAAGGCAGGCCAACAGCAACACAAAACCTAACAATGCGAAACCTGTGATCGGAACTAGCGTTGGTAGAGCTTGAAGATTTTGACAAGATTGAGAATTCTTTCAGTGTTGTCTGGAAATCAAATTAAGCTCTGGTACACTGTTTGTGTACACAAGCTTGAATAATTTAAGTTTAATTATCCGTTCTGTATGAATGTTCATAAACATAATTTTATTTTAAACCAGTATATTTATGTTATGCAGGGAGTATGTATGTGGGAAAGACAGAATTCTCTCTCTCTCTCTCTCTTCAGGGAACCATATGCTTTAACATGAGTAAAAAAGCACATTTTATTAAAGGAGAGTTATAACTGTACACTACTGGGTGCTTGATTGTCCTTTTGTATGATGTTTCATTCAAGAGGAGATTTTTTTATGAACCATATAAGATCTCTTTCTCTGAAAAGTGAGAACATAAAAGCTTGAAACCTTTGGCGAAAGGCAGTTTGATAAGAAAGTTTATACATGGTTGGTTTTTGTTTGCATCTTCCTTCCAGTTTCTCACCCCCACCGGAGAGTCACTGCATTGAAGATGGATGAGGCGTCCCTGATGGTTCACAATGAGCTGCTGAATGAGACTCTGACACTGTCATTTCTCTCTGACCACTGCTACCAGGTGAGAGGAGTTAGATCGTAATCTCTGTAGATATGGCAATGTCACATTAACAGATGGCCACGACGCTGCGTATACTCCTCTACATTTATTTCCTCATAAATGGCAGGTTTACATGGACACATTGCTGCTTGTTTTTTATCAATATATCGCTCATATTGATAGTTGATATATTGCTCATATATTGTTTTAGTAAATGTATTGCTGTGCAGTTGTTGTAGGAAGAGAAACGGCACAAAACAATGCACATTATTAGATTAATTATTAATATATAGACACGGATTATTTTGAAACATCTGTATACAACATATAACTCTTTGGGGGAAAGTTTACCGAAGCAACATGAGTACATCCCGGGAAAAATTCCAGAATATTCTCTGCTTACCTATGCCAGGACATTAATGTTGATTGCAGTTGCCATACGAGGTTCTTGTCTTCATACACAATCTTTATATAATGTGCTTTTGGAAAAAAAATCACTTAAATTATCCTTGCATAAAATGGTTTGCTGACCTGCTCCAGACTGTGTGTAAGAAAATTCCAGGTTAGGTACTTTAATTGCAGTAACAGTTTCAGAATTAAGAAGTATTTTCCTTCTCATTAAATTAACCTACAACTCTATAATTTGGACTTTTAAAACCTTGATCATCAGTTCTGCTTTGGCACGGCTTTGTCTATGGATTGTCCAGTATGATGACAATTTGTATCACTTGTGATTGATTATTTCAAGACGTGTGGCAGATACAGATATGTGTAACAGAAGACTAACCTCAAAGTACATATGAAAGTGAGCTATGCATAATTGGCTTAAAATTAAAATTACAAACAGAAATAACCATAAAAATCTATTGACTTTTAGCTACTTAGTTTAATATGCAGTGACTTAAGAATACAGTAAGACTTTGTGGATCATGGCTTTACAGTTCGATGATCTGCTTAGTTACGGCCAACGTGTTGAGTCCCTATTCTAGTTTGCCAGCAAAAACCACAGTTGGTTTGGCCATTTGCCTTGGAGGCAGCAAAGACTGAAGGCTTGCTGTGACTGACCAGTTGTTCAGAGAAAGGCAGGGGCTTATTTGATGATTTTAAAAAGGGCTTTAGCCTTGGCAGTGGGTAGGAGTGACTCTCACTGACTTGGGGATCTGCATCAGCGGACTGTGAAGCTGTTAATCAGGTTCCAGGAGCAGTGAAATGCCTTCAAGCGATGACAAGGTTGTCATGTTCTACATGCAACTATCAACCTGCGTGTTCATGTCCTACAGCAAAAGAATGGTCAGTCAGTGTTGCTTTGTTAGAAGGCCTCAGAAGAGTGCATGGTGAAGCCTTTGCAGATTTTCCACATCTTAAGCCCCCACTTAGAAAGTTAAAAGTCATTAGAAGCATGTTTTATACTAACTTACAGTTTTTAAAAACTTTGCATTTGGATTTTAGATTTTTTTTTGCATGTAACAACATTCACTTAAGATAAAGCAATATTCATACATACTAAATAAAGTGAATTTATAACAGCAGGAATTCTCATCCTTGTTTCATTTTCCTTTTTTCTGTCCCTTTGTGGCACAGTGCCTATTCCAGATCTTGGGGACAGTACCAGCGAGTCAAGGGCCTGGTCTGCCCAGCTCAGCAATGTTCGTTGTGAGCACACAGCATCCCCTGTTTCTGCAGGTCAACAGTACCATCTCAAACACAGAGCTGTGCAGGTAGGGGCTCAGGAGAGACTTTGTACCTTCATGTAAATATCCAGTTTCGATGTCAGAGATATCATGGTTGGAATCAAAACACTTTGTGGGGTCACAGCTGGGCGTACAGTATGTGAAGTTGCTGATGTCAGGATAAGGCGTTTTCTCAGTATACCGTTAGCACTGGGAAGCTTTGGTCTGAAAGCAAAAAAAGCATATCCTCGTGTAGGATTTCCTTTCCACAAAAAACAACAGGTCGAAGTCTTTTGTTGTCCAAATAGATAATACATTGGAAAATGGACGTTTTACATCCAACTTTTTAAAGTGACTTCTTAATGTGCAAGATGTGACCTATATTTTCTGACACAAACATTCTCTCATTTTACAAAAAGTTAAAAGTATGAATTTTATTGAGGTGTCTCCTGGGCTTCGGTACAGCAGAACTGTCTAAGGATAATGCAGTTATAGAAAATGGACAGGTTTTATCCTGCAGTGAAAAGCTTTGAAAACTTCCCCATCTAGATAGCACAGTTTTGGTAATTTGTGACCAAATACTTAACTGAGGTTGTAACATGATTCATCAGTGCTATCACTTTCCTACAGGACATATATTTTTAGAAGCTATGTATACATTAATTGTTCATCACGTGACCTGGTTCACAGAATGGCAGCCGAAAGCCAGAAGTCCTTTTTTTTTAATTCTGGGTCTGTCCTAGATGGCAGAGACCCAAGGAGTTAGTTGTTTCCCACCTCTTCCACATCTATGAAAAAAGTGGTTTTCATTCTCTTGACCTGGATGGAATGGTTGTTCTGCTTTAGAAGGCATTGCACTCAGATGACAGCTGTTGAACAGTTAGTCTGTAAACTAGTGTTTGTTACAAGCCAACAATGGACACAAAAAAACTATATTGAATGCTCATGTAGCAAGGATCACATGTAGGGACAAAGTGTGGATATCAGTCTTACCAGAGGGACTGGAGAGGGATGACCTGTGTGATTTCTCAATAAAGCAAGATGCATAATTTGATCTGATTTGAAATAAATTAAAATAATAAGTGTAGATGTTTTGCAAGGTGACTTAAAACCTCAGCAATAAGTAAATTCAATTCTGTGATCAGTTTATAGGACATGACGTGAAAGAATTAATAATCTTTTGCACTTAAAAATAGAAAATGGGTTACAATAACATGGTTTGAACTCCATTTTGCTCATTGTGTGTGAGAATAATATTTTTATATTTTCTGGAGTGAAACAGTATTTCTTTTATTGTTGTTGTTGTTTTCAGTGTTCACTTTAGCTTTGGAGAGCATGGAAATTACTCCTTGTGGATAAAAAATCTCAGTGACGCATCCAGGCACATCACCTGTGCCATTGTTACAGATAAGGAGCCTGTGAACAGCAACTTGCGTGAGTTTTGATTCTGTAGAAATTCTTTAAAAGCGTCTCTTTTAAATTTCCTTTTGATAATGTCATATATTATGTTTACTGTCTGACTTACTGCCATCAAGGTTTTAAAAATGCCAAATGGACTGAAAAATATATCAGTCTCTATTGAACATCGTATGACTTAACATTTGGTTTTGTGCTGTCATTCACTTTTGTGTTAGCAGTCGCACATTATTTATCTTCTTTTCCTTCAGCCATTCTGGTTGCCTTCCTGGTGTATACTGGATTAGCTATTCTTGTAGCCTTTGGAAGCTTCCTCATGGGGTAAGGGAATTTACTTTGTGAATTTTCTTGAGATGGTAACAAGTCCACTTTTATAAATGCACACAAATAATCTGCATGAAGTGTCAAACTCATTGAACCTGACATAACTGGAATATTACACATTTTTAAATTTCACTTTACTTTAGTATAAATTATTTTTTGGCGGTAGGTACAGCATGACATGATGTTACAACCCCTCACCTCTGCCAAGCACATACTGTATGGTTGTAGGTCTACTAATATTTTAATGATTCCCGTGCATCGTTACTGTATGATCTTGTGATGTGTTAACACTTAATTGTTCTTTAAATATTTTCTGTTAATAAAATTAAACTTGAATTCAATTAAAATGAAGTTTTCTGTTGGAACAATGTTTTAAATTTAATTTTTTGTAATATTTTATATACAGGTAATGCCCAGTATGTTATCTTGATCTTTCCCATGCCAGGGTAATAGATGTCAGCTTACTTCCTTTATTATTTTAAGTTGTGGAGGTTAAAATGAACAACTAAATAGCTTTAAAAAAATGATTTACTAGTTCTTGTCATCATCCTGGATGTTTGCCATGTGATA